ATACATAAATAAATAGCTTTCAGTTTTGTCCATCACAGCAACAACAGGTGCCAAAATTACTCTTGCAAAGATTGAAAAAATACTGCACTGGCTTCACCCACGGGTAAGTGTCTTCCCAGTCTTTGTTGTATGTGCATCTTGTTTTCTTCTTAGCTGTAGTTTCAGTTTCCTCCATTTTCCATAACCTGCTGCGTCACCTGCGTTATTGACTGACTTTCGTTGTTGTTGTTTGGCGGGGCCGCGCGGGGGTGTGTGTGAGTGAGTTACTCTCATTGGTTAACAACGCTGGTTAACACTTGACCAGCACCCGCCGTGTGTTACAGTTTGACAGCAAACACACCCCCGTGATGATAGCCTTCCCTGCTTTCTCAACAGCCATTGAATACATCTGATTTTAGAAAAGCGTTTTAGCCTATCANCGCGGGGGGGTGTGTGTGAGTGAGTTACTCTCATTGGTTAACACTTGACCAGCACCCGCCGTGTGTTACAGTTTGATTGACAGCAAACACACCCCCGTGATGATAGCCTTCCCTGCTTTCTCAACAGCCATTGGATAAAGCTGATTTAGCAAATCAAAATGAAATATGCGGGACATCGTCTCAATTTGCGGGACGCACCAAAATGCTGTGCAGTCCCGCGCAAAGCGGGACATCTGGTCACCCTAGTTGTGCCGGGATATGCATGCAATGCAACACAACACTCAGCCAATTGATAATAAACATCAATACATATAATTAATTATCAATTCGATAGATCAACATATGAGGCAGCAGTAAAATAAATAAAAATACAAAATTGGATGATTGCATTGGGAAATGCGCCAAAACGCTTTTAGTTAAATTTTTCTACATTTCTGTTCATGTGGCGACATCCGGAGGTTGTTCAGAATCATGAGAGAAATCGTTAGTATGGTGGAATGAAAGCTGCATGCTCGGCATTAAAACATTGGGTGAGACTTTTTTTGAGTTCAGCTTTATTTGTTTTTTCACATGTCACAAAAGAATGAAACAAAACAAAAAAAGATAATAGGGAGAATTAGTGAGATGGACAGAAGATTGAACACATTTGTACTCCATTCTATTAAAGTTTGCGAGAGAGGAAAGTTGAGTTGAAATAATGGTGCTGACAGTGGTGTATTATCTTTATGCCCCAAAGTGGGCTCATCCACACATTATTCATACATACAAATACATGTTTAATATTTGCCTTAGAAATACAATTATTTTTTTACAAGTAATGCATTTTGTTTGATTTAGAGTGAGAGTCTTTCAAACCAAAAATACTGAAAACCTGTGTGCACTGAAGTTTTCTTCTTTTACAGGTTAATTACTTCAAGTTTCTGTGCACCGGAAAGCACTTTAGGCTTTGATGCTTGAGAAAACAATGCAGACAAATCTTTATCCTAATAGGTAAGCTAGTATAATAATCAAAAGGCATATTATCAATGTAAATGGTAGAAATGGTCTGAACGTGCCCCTGTGGTACACCACTGGGTACTTGGGTAGTTTACAGGAGGCTGTGGCTCAGTGGAGAGTGTGCTGGACTTTGAATCAGGGGATAGCAAGTTCGAATCCCACTGCAGTCAGCATGTCGTTGTGTCCCTGGGCAAATTGCTCCTGTGGGGATTGTCCACAGTACTGAATGTATGTAAGTCGCTTTGGATAAAAGCATCTAACAAATGACATGTAATGTAACGATGTCATCTCTTTCTAAAAAAATGTATTACTAAGCATCCAATTGCAAGCACCAGCGATACACCACCTAGAAAAGGAACCCACTCTGGCAACTTTCTGTGCTTTGGAGGATTCTCATCTGGTGGGAAAAAATACAAATAAAACATATAATTTACTGAGACAAATTCTTAAAAAATGCAATTCAAAGGAAGGATCATAAACATTGATACCCTTTGTTGCCTTTTGTTCCTCTGTTAGGTTGCTTGTGTTTGACATTGAAAGGAAGAGCTCACCTTTCTCTATTTCCACAATGCTTGTGCATGGTTTTTGATGTTGGAGAAGCTCTTCTTTGACTATGTCCTCATGGAAAGTTGAAACCTCTTCATGTTCTTCATAACCTTCTTGTTTCTTCCCATTGTTTCCGTATCTCTCTTTATTTTGGCTTTTTTTAACATCATGGGTCCTTTCTCTTTGTTCTTGAGGGTGTAAAGTGGAGGGGAAGATATATGTTTATCAAATATCTGTTAATATCACAGGCTGTGATGCTTTCTTAATTTGCTTTTTGTGATCTTACCTCTGTACACGAGCAGATATGCACTGCTGGACCTTTTGAACAACCATTTTGAAGTGGTTGTTTTCATAGAACAACAAAAAGTTTAAAACATTTCCAGATGTATTAATAGAATATATCTGTGAACATTGAATATTTATTACCTTCTAACAGTGTTAGAAATACGCTTTAAACATAATATGATCTTCGCAGCATTTTTAGTCCTTTGTGTCCAAAAAGGGAAAATGTATTCTACAATTCCACCAAAGCTAGACAAACTAAATGGACCTTGTGGTAAGATTGTTTAAAATATAATTATTCAAACATACCTCATAGTTTTTGCAAATGGTTGCTCTTCAACCTGCAACATTTAACAAATAGCCATTGGAGGATTTTCAATATGTGCCATGCTAATGGATGCGTTAAATGAATCCTCACCTTGTTGACGGTGTCGTCGTTGAACTCATACCAGGTTTCGTCCTCATTGGACAGGAGGGTGGCGGTGTAATGTCCACCTCTCAGACTGCCATAGTGATTCACCATCCCATACAGCGAGTACTTCTTGTCCTATGATGAAGAGCAGAGACGGGTGCATAAGAACATTTAAAAGTGTATTAATGAACATCTTTTAAAGTTTCTCCCCCTTGCCTTTTTCTGTAATGTATATGGCACGTCCACACTGCAGCCTGATTTGAAATATGACATGGTGTTGAAGTCAAATTCAAATCTCTTCAGGAGTAGGACCAAAATCTGGGGAAATGTATCCATGTCACATCCCTGAACAACACAAGGAAGATATTAAACACTGCAGCTTTTGTAAAACAGACAAAACAAATGGTCAAATATTCATTTGACTCTGAATGTGTTCAGGCCCCATTTGGCTTTGGACTCCACTCACACTTGTCGCTTCTGTTTTCTTTTCACACTCGCTGCAGTACACCATGTTGTCTCCACTGTATGATTTTGTCTCAAAAGTCCTTTCAAAGCCTCTTACCTGTAAAAACAAAAACGTTGTTGTTCAACTCCAAATTAGATTACCAATTCTACATCTTCATAAAAACTGCCCTTTTTAATTTATTCTTTCACAGGCAGTGGTTTTATTGGTTGTAATGTATTGCTTTATTATTGGTTAAAAATGTGTACTTCTGCTTTACAGAACAGTTATAAGCTGTTGACTCACTTATTAGATTCAGACAAAAACATGTGTACTAATTAACTTAAAGCACTTAACTCCATATGAATGATCACTTATTTTTAAAGGCAGTAAAACAGTAAAAAACTAAGAAATGCTGCCTACCACGTTGTAGGTTGCATCAGGGGTATTTGTTAGCGACAGTGGAAGAGTCCAGAATGGATTTGTCTCTTCGTTGATGATGTGGCCTTTGGAGCATTTTGTCATGTATATCAGCTCTCCTTGGAAAACCTTGAGATAAAAATATCCCTATTATTATTATTATTATTATTATTATTAATAATATAGTAACGCCTTTTTCCAATTTGTTGACTGACAACTCAATAGATTTGTAAGCGCTCACGGCTCACCTCAGAGGCGTTTGGACTGACTTTATGTAAAATCAACTCCAGGCATTCGGCAGCATCACGTTGTTGATGAACTGAAAATCAAATGTCCATTAGATAACAGTAAAGCATTTCAGCCATGTCACTTTCTTCCTTGTTTTTATTGGTTGCTGAAATACTTACAATTTTTAATCCCCAAACTCTCTGTGATGTTTTCTGTTCCACATTTTTCTACTTTAATTTTCTCAAACACTTCCCCCAGCTCTTGATCCGTGATCCATGATTTTGGATCCAACCTGTAGAAATTAGGATTTTATGGGTGAACATTTATCTGTTTTAACTTTACATAATCACTGATAAAGAGTCGAAGTTGATGCAGCTTGAGCCTTTGATGGTAATATTTGGTGTCTGAGGTGAGAGCAGTCCCATAACAATATTTAAATGTACATTTGCAAGCATGTATATTTGTCCATTTATCAAATATATGGCAGACTTTAGTTGTGAAGTCTTGCTTGAGTTTTGAAGTACTTTCGATTTCTCTTCTTGCAAGGTTTACAACTCCTCACCAAACACCACTACAGACTCTCAGATGTAACACTTAAAGGTCACATGTCATGGCCATTTCTACTGATCATAATTCCATTGTTGAGGTCTACTAGAATAGATTTACATTGTTCAATGTTCCAAACTCACATTGGTTTCTCATACAGCATCTCTGCATAGTATCTGTATTCACTCTCTGTCCTAANGTGTGCCTTGGCAGTCAAGACGTACAACGGCCTCGACAATTTCTGTAGTCCTATTCAGCCACTCGGTAACAACCATCGTTTTTCAGACACGTTAACTCTTCAAAAATCACCAGTGGGGTCACTGCTGATGTATTTAATGTAGTAAAACAAAACGTGATTTATCTCTTAAATGTGCGTAAACCACAGACCTTATTTTGCGCTATTTTCCAAAACCCTATAGAAAAAAATGCATTGCTTTTTGACGAAGGAGCCGGAAGTGGTAAAAATGCTAACTTACGTCCGGGTTTTAGGACGCATCACTGCGGTTCTCTATTAGATTGACAATGTATCACATGAAATGTAGCTGACACTTCAATAGAGAACCGCAGTGACGCGTCCTAAAACCCGGAAGTAAGTTAGGATTTTTGCCCCTGCCGTTTGGCGTTTTTTACACCTGCAGAACAAAACATTGCAAGCTGCGATGTTTGCAGAAAACAAATTATGTAGCCTACTGTACTGTGGAAACACCACAAATGTATACAAACTTATAAAAACACACCCGAAAGAGAACTCTGAGCTGCAAAGTGAACAGAGGGAGGGGGAGGGGAATCCCCTAATCACAACCGGAAAGTCCCAAAATCCAGGTAGCTGATTTATGGAAGAGAAAATAAGATGTATTCATCTCTAGCATTAGTTAATGTTTTCCTTCAAACTGTAATAGGTCATCATAGTTATGTAAATGTGTTATTTTCCAGACTGATTCAATATAGACTATTCAGACAGTCATATGTAATACATCTAAATTAATATTTGACTGGAACTGAAAAATATATAGCTTTAAAAACATATATACCTGAAATATAACCATGGCTGAATATAATAACCCTTTTGTATTAACTGTCAAATGAACATTATCATTCCTATATTTAGACTACGTGTATGTATTATTATTTCACCTTGGTGATTCCCCATGAGCTATGGATATCGCCAGAGGCCTTGCTGGAAATGATTCTAAAGGACGATCAAACTCATACGGTTGAAGATGAGAGTTTTAGGAATTTTATACAAGCTGACTTTCTAAGTTAAAATGTTTGTATTGTAGTAGGCAATACTGGCCCTGTATTTACTTGGTATCAGATCGATATCAAATGTTGCCCACCCCTAATGGGAGCAACTTGGGGATCTTGCCCAAGGCCACTTTGAGGTGGTTGGGATGCATGAACCCCCTGAGCCAGATGGAACATTTTCAAACAAACCAGGGACAAAAACATCAGTTAGTTTAACTAAACCTGGAAAACACTTCAACACCAGAGGCTGTTCGGTTTAATATATTTACCTATTATTATGTCGATTCATCTTAGTTGTTGCATACTCATTCATATTATTTTCATAATCATTATTCCAAAACGTGTTTTTAAGAGGAAACCAAAAAAAGCATGATGTATGTTGAATAAAATATTGAGATGTATTTCTACACTTCATGTCTCAGCAGTATATCGTCAGGGAACATAATTGCTCAGCAGCCAGTATCAGCTACAGAGGAGGCAAATAGATGCTCCGTGCAGCAGTCACAGCTGACTGATCACAGTCTTTACATCAGTGTTTCGTTTGAGTGACGTTAAGGACAATTTTGAAGTCCGATTTCAAGCGGGGCTGAAGATTGAGAGAATGAGATTATATTTTTTATGATTATGTAACTGGCTATAAGCTTGAGGTACATATGGTTTTTGGGGTTCTCTTGTGTAATGGCTTACTTTATGCATGTCAATTCACACATTTCTGTTGAGCAAGCTGGAAACTGGAGGACACACACTATCATTTAGCGGTCAGGATATCCCAAAGGTGAAATGTAAAAGTCCACAGCAGGCGCTCAAAGACTGCCGGCTAAAAAACTGCAAGCTAAAAAACTTACCAGTGTGACCCTTTTTTTTATTATACAGACAAGATTCTATTATTTTCTGATACTGACAACTGACCCTTTGCTAAGCCCCGCCCCCTGCCATTACTCCACTGCTGGAGCTACTGTACCATTGAGCCCAAAATGTGACACACTGCACTGACTAAATACATGTTAAGTATATATATTTATTTCCGGAAATATTAAAAAGTAATTTTAAGGAGAAGCAGGCAGGCAGTGAAGCTGACTCAGCAGTGAAAACATATTTCAAAGGTAAAGATAGAATCGAAAGCATCGAGATCACAGTGTTAAACTGAACCTTGATGCCTGCAAATGAATTAAAAAGCAACATATTTCCTGTATAAGCATAACTTTAAGCTTCTTTCCAAGCTTCTTTCCAAATTCAATCCCCGTACTTGCCATGAGCAGAGAAATTAGAGACCAAAACCTTTTTTATTTTACCGATCTGGTAAAGTGAAGTAAGGCATTTGGAAATTGGGGTCCAACACAATTGTTGGCTTCATTCCTAGCGTCAAAGGTTGCCATTTGTCTTTTTTACGTAGAAACTTAAAATTATAGAAGAGTGTATCTCCTCCCAATCTCTACAGGTATTGGGTGTTAGAAATTCACTAGCACCAGGCCCAGTGGAAGGTGGGGGGTTTGATCCCCAGGCCCTGCAGTAAACATGTCCATGTGTCCTTGGGCCAGATACTTAACCCCAAATTGCTCCCAATGGCATGGACATAAAGGATGTTTGAAGGTGGCAACTTGTATCTGCCTCTGTACAGTATCAATGTGTTTGACTAGGTGAATGCTGAATTTAAAATGTAAAAGTGCTTTAAGGGGTGGCAAGACTGGAAAAAAAGGCTTTACAAATGCAGTCCATTTACCATTTGTGGATCAGAGTTATATATTTGTTGTACACTGGTAACAACTAGGCGATGCTACGCTTGGTGGTCGGTTTTTGAATGGTGGTGCCTTGGGAAGAGTCATTGTTTTGTTTTAGATTTTCATCTAGTTTGAAATCAAATATGATGCACATGTTGATGCTGCTTCCTGTGCTGGTTCGTTAGACTGTGTTTGTATTTCATGTGGATATTCAGCTTGTCATCGCTATATGATTACATTACAGTTCACTTAATTAAGTCTACAATGTCCAAGCCGAGACTGAGCATTGTGATTTTAATCTGATGCAGCGCTCTAGTTTTTGATTTCCAAACATTTATTGATTCAACTTTTAGTTCTGCCTGGGCTTGATCAAGGCAACCTACTTCCAGGGATGTGCCAGGAAATGTGGAATATGAGCTGCCTGTCTGAACATAGCCTTGGTGATTAGGTAAAACATTGAGCTATCTTACGCTACCTGCAGAGTACACCTGCACATGAACACACAGAAACAAGCACACAGGTGTACAAATCTGCATAAATAAACATGCATGCTTAACATATACGATAAATATCTCAATATATGAATATAGCATGTAATGGCATATAGCACATATGCTTATAAGCAGATGGTTATGCAAACATACACAAACAATATATGATATGCTGTAAAAAAACAAAAAGTTGATTTTAGTGAATACTTTTTAAAGAGATACTGGTGAACATCGCCACATGAAAGACTTAAAAATACTCACAATCATAGTAAAGAAGGGACAAATGTTGCCTTATTTAATTTTTATAAAACTTCAGATATGCAACAAGATTGGTTTCACTATGTTGACGTTTTTTTTAATTTATTTATACAAATGTCCAAATATATGTTTCTAATAGAGTATTAATGAGTATTGGGATGCCAAGGCACAC